GGAGCAGACAATTTGGCAGCAGATGGATAGACTAATATCAACGTCTCCAGTGACGCAGGGCCCAGTCCCTGCCCTGAAGGCTGCTCAGCCCCTTCGGCCCACATCCCGCCTCGCGATGCCTCCTCTGTGCCAGGGCCAGGGCCTCTGCTTCGGTGCCTTCCCCCTAGCGGGCGACTGTCCGCTGGCTTTCAAAGGTGGCACTTCTCAGCTGTCAGAGCTGCAGTGACAGCCTTGGGGAGGCTGAGGGGGCTCTGTCAAGCAGGGGACACTAGTGGGGACAGGTGTGTGGCCCCTGGCTGCAGGGCCTCCTCCACCCTCCCCACTCAAGGCTATAAATACTCATGATGCAAATGGTAAATGCTCCCAGACATTTATCATAAATTACAGGTGGATAATTGTGAGTCTTTAGGCCATGAGGCCTCTTGGGGAATATTTCCGTTCTTTAAAAAAAAGGAGACACCAAGCCAACGGGGCAGGACGGCCGTTCAGCCTGGCTTGTGACTGGAAGTTCGCTGGGTGCAGCAGACTGGCGTGGGAGAGGCCAGGGTGCTGGGTGAGTCGGAGGCTGGGCCAGGGAGCACCGTGACCAGTGGTGGTTACAGAGGAAGTGAAGGACGACGTGGGGCCAGGTCGGAAGCAGCCAGAGCCAGATGAGGGGCACCTGGCCCCTTCTGCGAGGTTGGAGCATTATGCCAGGAACAGGTGTTCCCTGTACACTTTTTTAAGTGAGTAAAGAGAACAGTGATTTTCAAACAAGGGTGTGTTGGGGAGGGTGTGGGGGGGCTCTTCCGTGCACCTGTTCCCTGCCTCTGCATGAGCCCAGCACAAAGTCCTAGCTGGAGGGCCGTGGAAGCCTGGGGCGGGCACTGTGCAAAGGCTGGGTAAGCATGCTGCCCCTCAGAGCGTCCTCAGTGGTGTAGCCAAGAGCCAGGAAGGACATAGCCTCCTCCCTCCTCCCTGCTGGAAGCCAGAGACCTACCACAAAGACAGACCTGCTGCCTCCACCCGTTCTCTCTCTGCCTTGCCTCTGCAACTGGTCTTTCCTCCAAGCAAACCTTTTCTGCCCGCTTCACCATTCACTCTGCAAATGACCGGGCCTCCAGATCCCATCCAGCCGCAGGATCGACTGGGTCCGTGTCAGCGAGAGAGATGGGGCATTCCAGTTGTCCTGCATGTCCTTTCAACCTTTCCCTTCCCTCTCTTCTGGAAACTGAGCAAACACCAGGCACTGGGACAACTTCTAATTTAATATAATAATAATAAAAGCCACGGTGGCACAGAACCATGAACTGCATTTTACATTCCTAACTGAACTCCTGCTGGGGCTGTTGTCAGGATAAACATGCAGAATCAATGGCTGCAGTTGCCAAAATAAATGGAGCATGCCCACCTCTGCTGCAGCATCGCTGCAGACCCGCCCGGCCCGGCCCGCGCCCGAGCTGGGCGTCACTCGGAGGAGCTGGTCACCACACAGAAGGCAAGATTAAAATAATAACACTGACAAGCAAGCTCTAATGAGGAAAAACTCCTGAAAGGAGGCAAATTTAATTTTCTTTTCCTCTTTTGACACCTTTCTTCCCTGTCCAAAGGGAGGTTCTTAATTGAAGTCTGTGAGGGGGACGCTCTGTCTCTTTATTACCAAGTGGCCTCAGTACACAGAACGCTCGCTTTTTATTGTAGATTATACCTTCCTTTTCCCCCTTGGCTCTGGAAAGGATAAGTGATTACAATTTTGTTATCTTCTAAATTAAAAAGAAGGTGAAGTTGACTGGGCTGGAGCCGTCTGCACAGCAGTTTGACAACTGGGGCGACAGCATAACTACTGGGCAATTTTTTGCACAATTCAAAAGCTTTTTTTCTCTTTTTTGTCAAGGAATCAGTCTAACAAAAACATCCTACCCTTGCTGAAAATAATTTCTTTTCCCAACTCTTCTAGGAATAAAGCACTTTTAATGTATTTGTCAGGAATCGACACTTCATTTAATAAGGTTTAAAAAGTGACAATTTAAAGAGTAATTGAGAAGAGTCCCACATCCATCATGGCTCGCGCTTCTAACTAAAATCAAAAGAACGAAAGCAGAAAAAGCACTGAGAAAATGGCAAAATGTGTGAGGGAGAGACGGGGGGCGGGGGGCTGTTCAGAGCTGCTTCAAGTCCAAAGTGCTTGCAGCGGCTCCTGTGACACTGCCCTGCTGGGTGCTGGCTGCAGGGACACAGCTGCTGCGCGGCACACGCCCTACCCGCCCGACACTCCCAGTCCACCCCAAGTGACCCTCCCCAGAGCTGCTGGAAGGTGACTTTGAAGGCTTTTTCCCCCAAAAGCTCCAATGAAGTTGCCTTTCTACTCTCAAAAAAAAAAAAAAAAAAAAGATGATGAACAGTGAAGGGTGGGGGTGCTGGCCACCTCCCATTTCTTTGCCTGGGTGGTGGTGACCACAACGCCCTTGTGTCCTTTCCGTTGGTTACTGAGGACCATTGCCCTCATAGGCCCGGGCCACAGGCACCCACCCGTCAGCCTCACCTGCCACCCCTCCTCATGTTGGCTTGTTGCCTCTGGGGCTGGCCCGGGCATGGGGGAGCCTGTCTCCCCAACCAGGGGCTTGGCCATGTCTCCTTCACAAGTCCCGCTTCCCACGGACTCAGCCTCCACTCTCTGCTGGGCTGAGGGCTCTGTGGTGCCCAGGAACCCTCCCAGCCACGTGCCAGCCCATCCCATCATCTGCACTTGCTTTTAGCTTCAAGTTTTTAGGTCGCTTTGGTCCAGGTGGCCCAGGGGAGAAGTGCTCTGCAGGACCAGCCAGGCTCTGGGGACCTGCAGGCTCCGGGGAACTGCAGGCTCTGGGGACCTGCAGGCTGCCTGGGGACTTTCTGGTAGCTGCTCACTTGTCCCTGTTCCCTGGAGATGAGCGCCTTGCCCTGGTGTGTGGTGTGACACACCTTGACTTGGCCTCCAGACCCAGCTGAACACACGAGAAGAGTTCCTGCCCCATTCAGAAGGCCCCCGGGGGAAGAGCAGTACCCCTCCAGCCCGGGAAAGGAGGTGGACCCCAGCCCGGTGTCCTTCCGGAGTCCAGGGCAGGCTCCCGGCAAAGTGAGGGGAGGCGAGCTGGCAGCGCAGCTGTGGGGGAATGAGACTTTGCCCTCAGTCCTCACCAGTGACATCAGCTGTTAGTGCTGCCCCATCTTCCCCTGACTTCTCTTTATCTGATGATAAGGGGCATCTTTAAAGTGCTGGAAGCAGGAAGGACAGAGATCTGGAAGGGCATGCCCCAAAGGAAAGAACTGCCACAGGCCAGGGAGCTGCAGATGTGGGTCTAGGGCCGAGGCTTTGAAGCGTGTTCCTTTTCCGACGCGAGGCCGAGCTGCCAAGCTGCTATCTAGTTTCTGGAGCACAGGAGGGCTCTGCGTGCTCTGCGGGCAGGGGACTGGAGGGTTGCAGATGCAGGGCTGGGTAGCTCCTCCAGCCCCCCACCAGCCCACCCTCTCTTCCCAAGGTCAGCAGCACGCTGCTCCAGGCCAGGAGCCTCTGGACAGGCGATGCCCATGTTTAAAAGGAAGCATGTGAATGGTTCTTTCAAAATGTTTGAACTCTGCCCTTGATATGACTGATCTGGCTCCTCTGTCCCCATCTGGGTAGAAAACACACTGGGAAGGAAGTGCTGAGTGCGCAGGAGCTCTCTGGCTAATTGGCAACCTGGGGCTGGGGGCTGACAGCCAGCGCCCCCACTGGGAGCGGGCGCCCACTGTTCCTTACAGGAGCCTCCTCCCATTAGGAAATGCCTGGCACCCCAGGGTGTTCCGCTCACCCACACAACAGGGAGTGGCAGAGAGCAGAGCTGAGGGCATAGGAAGCAGCTCAGCCCTGCAGCCGGAGCCACTGAGGAGGACGGAGAGCGGCAGAGCCTGGCTTCTCCCCAGGAACGTGTCCGCCCTGACCCAGTGGCCCTCTGATGTCTGCTGTCCTGTGTTCACACGGAAAGACAGTCTTCCAATTTAATCATGCAATTTGATGCTACCCTACTATTTCCATGTGGACAAATAACTCAAAACCAAGTTAAACTAGGAGGAAGCGGCTGACCCGTTGGCTCTTTTTGGAGCGCAGCTGATATGTCTTTGACACACTGAAAGGAAACTCTCACGCCCTCACCCTCCTCTGATCAGGGTTGCAGGTTGGCGCCAAGGACCCAGGGACCGCGGTGCTGCCCGTGTGCCGTGCCGTCCTGGGGAGACTCCCAGGCTGATACTGATGGCGACAGAGGCCGGAGCTCTGGGGACAGCAGAGGCGCAGGCAATGATGTGTGCAGTTACCCAGGGCAGGCAGCACTGGAATGGAAATCACTAAGTAAGAGACGGAGCCAGATCAAACCACCATCATCAAACGAGGTCCTTTCGATGAGGATTAGGAGAAAAGCTTCTTAGAACTGCTATTTTTCAATCCCCAGTTGAGTACTGCGGGGTGGGGGAAGCACGGAGTCCCAGATCTGCGTTCCCGACGCTGATGGGCAGGTGGCTGCCTCTCCAATGCTCCACTGAACACAACTGGAGGGGCGGCTAAGCCATGGCAGTCCCCGGCAGGTTTGGCCATGCCAGAACTCGGTATATGTTTATCTACATAGACTTCTGAATAGTGAATTAGCAGCGGACATAGTAACTATTTCCTTGTCAGCCTCCCAAGCTTAAAGGCTGGATCCGTGTCAGGAATGACAGGTGAATAACTCAGCCACGCGAGTGACTATTAACTCCAGTGTCCACAGGTTGATTTGCTCGTGTGCATTTGTGGAACTTCCTCTGTGGCCCAAGTGCCAGGATGAGCCACATCCGTGTCTCATTTAGGAGACATGCATGATGGGCCTCTGTTCCCCCAGGCTGAACCGTTCAAAACCAAGGAAGGAAAATTATAGCATCAAAAGGGATTAAAACTAGTGATTTGCTGCTTGAGCGTTTCAAATAGATCTGGAACACGTATGATTCACTGAATGGAGAATAACTAAGAGAAAAACAAAATCATTTAGTTGCCAGGGCAATGTTTTCCAGCAGAACGAACGCTCTGAGGAAGCCCGTTCCTAAAGGGCGCCTCCAGGCAGCAGAGGCCTGATGCTTTCTCCTCCGCCTGAGTGTTTGTGTGCCATTTCTGTATTCCAACACGGGCCTGTCTATGACCCTCCTGTTCCCTGCGCCTGGGCTAGATGAGAGAGGTAGGGTGTGAATGGCGGACTTGATGAAGACTGAAGACCCATTTTCTCCCCCTCGAGACCAGCCTGATTTGGACAAATTGAGAAGAACAAAGCAGCCCCTTTCTGCCTTGGGAGGAAACCTGTTCGGTGTCTGCTTTCGCAGCTCCTCACTGGAAAGGGGCAGGGGCGGGGGCAGTCAACAAAGACCCCTGCTCAGGGAGGAGACCGTTTCCTGCCGTCGCCCAAGCCCACCAGTCACACCAGGCCCGCTGCCTCCTTTATTGGTGCTGCCGGTTGGGGGAGCGTGAGTTGGAGCCTGGGCTGGAGGGTAGTGAGCTGCCACTGGGCGCCCGCAGGGCATGGGAGTCGAGCTGCTGACCGGCCAGACTGGTGTCCCCTGTCCCTGATTCCTCGCTATTTTCCTCCTTCTGGCTGCTCTGCTGCTCTGGACACTCAAAGTGGACACAGTGGAACACCTGGGAGAGAAGAGGAAAAGGCCCATGAGTGAAGGGTCAGCACGCGGCCCTGGAGCTGCCGCAAGTCGGGATCCTGCCCTGCCCAGCTTGGGGGCTCCCAGGAGGGAGTCAGAGGAAGTCCTTCCCGCTGCCCACGCCCGCCCGGCGCAGACACCTGATGGCACCGAGCATGCCGTAAAGGCATTTTCATCAGTCAGGATGAAAGGAAATGAGCCAGTGGCCCCAAAGTTACAGACACCATGACATGGATTCCTACAAAATGTTCACACTGGATTATTCCATCTTTGCTAACCTTTTTCTAATGGGTTTTTTTCTTTTTAATTAATTTTTGTATTTGGCAGTTGGGGGAGTTGACTGTGGTGGTGGTGGTTCAATTCTGTGAGGTTGTGGAAAGCAGGTCCGCAGATAACGTCCACCCTGTGTGGCGTCTGCGCCTCCTCCCCGTGCCCGCGTGGGCTGTCTCTGGATACTCTGGTTTTCTCCCGTGTCCCGAAGCTGTGCACATGAGGTTCATGGGTGCGTCTGCAGGACCCTAGTCTGAGTGCGTGTGAAGGTGTGTGAGCGTGCCCTGCAGTGGGACAGTGTCCTGTCCTGAGTTGGTTCCTGATGCATAATTCTCCCTGGTCCTGCAATGGTTGAGCACAGACCCTGCCAAGGCAGCTGTGCTGGGGAGTGGACTTCAACCTCATATGGCTCAAGCCAGCCTGGAACAAACACCCCCAATGTGTAGAAACCAGCCACCTGGCCGGCAGTCACCCTCTAGGAGCTGAGAGAAGTTTGCGTACCTGACAGCAGGTCGGCCTGGAAGCACCATGAACTCTGTGCCAACACCGGGCCAGCACCGTGCAGACAGGGCACAGCACTGAGCTCAGCGCCCCGCAAGCAAGGGTGAGCCACGGCCCTGACCTGGAGAGTAGACAGTGTGCTTCAGGGGGGACCTGACGTGCATGTGTGAGCTGAGGGGTGCAGGAGAGAAGGGCGGGATGGGGGCTCCCGTTGCCACAGCACGAGCATGTGTGCACACGCATACACACGCCCTTCTACCATGGAATCAAGTTCACAGAGACAAATGTAGTATCAACTGCAGAATTATATTGAAAATATAAATTCCATGCTTACCTCCCTGCATCACTATCTTTTCCATATTTCCACTTCAATTCATTTATTGACCACTGTTTTACATTTCACATTTCCTCCTGTGAAGACTGAGACCGTGTCTTCCTGGTGTGTCCACTCTGTTTTGGAAGCTACCATTTTCTTTTAGAGGGAGCTGATTTCTCTCCTTACCGGGCAGGGTCTCAGACCCGGTCCTTGCCTCCCACAGAGCCCTCACTGCCTCACGGCTGAAGCTGCCCCTACTTAGCCGATGTCTCCCTCCTTTTCCTTTCTTTCCTTCCTTTTTTATAAAATCTCCTTCTGTGGGTCCATCTGCAGGGCTTACCAGTCAGCAACCGGAGGGGCTAGGTCCTAGGGAAGGCCTTATGTGGAGATCTGAACACTACTTGGGCCATCAGCCCTGCCCTGGGCTAGGCCGTGTGAATCTGGGAATCATCCTCTAGGTGACAACCATTAATCCACTCTTCCATCAGCTGCACATTCTTGCAGTTTTTCAGTAACAACACCGCCCTGGGCATGTTGGCCACTCGTGGATCACTTGCCTTATGAGTGCTTCTCCTTCCACGCCCAGGGATAGGTGAGGTCAGGCTCTGCAGGGCCAGGGCACACCCTGAGAGTGCAGTCCTGGTCCTCAACACACCCCCCACTAAAGCTTCTCGTAACCCAGCAAATACGCCGTTCTCTTTTGCAGTATGACCCAGAGCCACATTCTGTTCCCACGCCCACGCACAGGACTTTTCAGGACAGGCTGTGTTTTACTGCTCCTTCCCCCTGCTGACACAGGAGCTCTTTATCCTGCCCCATCATGTTCTTTAATCGGTTATTTGTGTAATCCCTGCTCTCCCTGCTCCGTCAGTATCTCTGGAGGCCGCTCCCCAGAGCCTCAGGCTGACACTAATCCTAGAATTGACTTACATTTGTCCTACTCCTTATTACCTTTCCTCAAGCTCGCTCCTCTGGCATTGAATGGTTTTTCTCTCCTTTTGCTCTTGCAAGGTTCTCTACAGTCCTGTTAATTTCCAGGCCAGCTCTTCCCCCCTCCCCCGGCCCGCACGCCTTCAGGGTGCCTCCTGCTCCGTGGCCCACCCCGCTGCCTGCCTCCTTCTACTCATCTGTCAGCTCCGATCTGACTCCAAGACCAAGACTTAGTCGTCCTTCTACCAACTCGGGTTCTTGCACAAGAATAAACAAATCGATAAAAACCCTGGATTGAGAAATAAAGTTAAAAAAGACCTCAGAGTGGCCTAGTGTTCCAGCTTGCTCTTCAGAGCCGGCCTCCCACCGGAGGAGGGATCAGGGCGGGTCTCTGCTCCGCACTGTGCTGGTAAGAGCCTGGGAAGAGATGCTGTCTGTGGTGAGCATGTGATAGACATTCCACGACCCGACCTGTCGGTGCCCTGCTTCTCACTCTACTTCTCATTTCCAGCTGCATTTATCTCTTGTCTAACTTGGGCAGTGGTAAGGGCACAACTGTGTTTAGCCCATTAGCCAATTTGTTTTCAGTTAATAATGCAAATGGCTGTTACTCCCAACACACCTAACAAGACTGACAGCCAATCTCAACTGTTGCTGTGTTTTCCTATGGATATTTCTCCTAAAGAACTCCTAACTGTCTCTCTCCCTGATGCCACTGAGCTCACAGCAGGCTCTGCCATCAAGTTAGGGGACTCTAGAAGCCCCTGGAAGCCCTAGGCCTTAATTGCCTGACTGAGCTCCCTGTGGCTCTGCAAGTAACTGGGGCCATCTCAGAGCTGCGTCCCAGTCTGTGGCCTCAGAATCCCAACTAAATGAAGTGCAAGTGCAGTCTCCCTGAGCATCTCCACGAGGCCACGCAGGTGCTGCCAGATTCAAAGGCAATACACAGGCAGGAGTTAACTGTATTATATCACAAACTGTGTGGCGAAGATTCTAAGTGAAAAAGAGTGTTTTTACAAATGGATAGGTGGGTGAAGAGGCAGAGCATGCCATGGGTGGGAGTGGGCAAGCTATAGGTGACAGGTGGGGAGGGAACAGCCTCTGCACACAAACAGAGCACAGGATGAGAGTCACATATGCAGCAGACATGGCCAGAGGATGACGCTGCACGCGTAAGCAGGGTCAGGAGGTACACACATACCACAAGCATGAAGCACCTCCTACGTGCCTGACTGAGCGAGGTCCCAGCTGCCCTCAGAGGGTGTACAGTCCAGTGAGGCCAGCAGTCACATAAGCCAGGGAGAAGGAGTCCCAGGGGCATAGAGGAGTGGGACCCAGCCAGGTAGGGAGTCAGGGAAGGCTTCCTGGGGGAGGAGACATCTGAGGTGAGTCTGGAAAGAAGAGGCAGCCAAGCTAGAGAGGATGGAGAAGGGGGGAACTTGGTGTGGAAGGAAAACAGGAAGAACTACACAGGTTCTCAAGCCAAAGGGTGGCGACAGAGCAAGGAGGGCCTGGGAGCAGCAGGGTGTGGGTTGGAAGGGTGGGGGCAGGGGCCACACCCAATGGGATAGGGTGAGGGCCTGGCCTGGAGCTGGGCAGGGATCCTGATACTCTTGGACAAAGGAGACTATTTATTTATTTATGAGACAGAGTCTCGCTCTGTCGCCAGGCTAGGATGCAGGGGCGCTATCTCAGCTCACTGCAACCTCTGCCTCCCAGGTTCAAGTGATTCTCCTGCCTCAGCCTCCTAAGTAGCTGGGACTCCAGGCATCTGCCACCACACCCAGCTAATTTTTGTATTTTCAGTAGAGACAGGGTTTCACCATGTTGGCCAGGATGGTTTCAATCTCTTGACCTTGTGATCCGCCCACCTCAGCCTCCCAAAGTGCTGGGATTACAGTTGTGAACTACCATGCCCAGCCTAGGAGACTCTTTAAAAACGAATCTTTCTTAAACTAAAAAAGTTATTTAAAAAGGAATATACGTTTGTGGCGACAAATTCAAATAACAAGTATTTTAAAAAACTAGATGACAACAAACCTTTAAACCTTGGAATCCCCTGATTTAGCAATTTGGAAGCAATAGGAAGGATTCATTTTCAAATTAAGAAAGAACAGAATCTGGTAACAGACTAGATGAGATTGATAAAGGAAAGAAAAGGGCTCCACAGTGACTGTCGGGGTTCTCTGGAAGGGACGGGGACGGGCATACTGTGGTGCTACAGAAGGTGGCCAGCAGCAGGTCCGGGGCTCCCGGCACAGCAGCGCAGACCTGCACTCATGCCAAGGACTCTCACAGACCCTTTCCCTGCGATGATTTCACTGAGTGCAGACTCCAGCAGGTGCGCCCACAGTGCGGCCCCTGCCCGCAGGACCTCTCGGGCAGATGGGGGCAGAGGCACCTCTGTGCTGGGACCTGTGTTCAGTCTTCTGCAAATGGCGAGTGGGCAGGCTGGGAATGAACCTCAGGGCTGTGCAGCCCTTAAGCCTGGACCTTTCCACTGTATCAACATGCCTGCCTCACACAAACAATTCTACCAGCATGGGGTCAGTAACATTCCATACATCAGAGGCGAGGGAGAAACTGATTCTGCCTGGAAGAGAGGTCAGGGCAGGCTGCAGAGAGGAAGGTGTGCACAGGTGAGGTCCTGAGGGGTTGGGAGGCAAAGGGAACGAGAAGATTTCCACATAAAGATCTGGGCCCTGGCACCTCACTCCTGGCAGCCTGTCTGCAATTCACTCTGGTCACCCCTCTAAGGAGCAGTGTGCCTGGCTCAGTCATCTCTGTTGATGGTTTAAGCCTAGCAGCCTTCAGCCAAATGTGGCAACTGTGTAAGCCAACCCCCAGCTAGCTCCTAGACCACTCAGATGCCCATCAACGTGTACGAGGCTGGGGTTACTTCTCCTGGTACCCCAGAAATCCTCAGATTTGCATGCAATGCAAATGGGCATGGGGGGGGGGTCTGTGGG